GGGTTCCACGCTCCGGTTGGTTCGGCCGGGGCGGGGGAGCTGCTTCCAGCGGGGCGGGTGAGCAGGCCCAATCCTGCCCTCGCGGGTGGAGGAGCTGGGAGTTGGTGCTGGCCACTGCCTCATCTTAGAAAGTGGCTTGTGCTGAGGATAAATCCTGTTCCACTGCTCTTCTCACGCTGCCTTCTCTGATCTTGTCGGCAGCTGCAGTTGGAAGTGGACTGTCTGGAGGAGCTGAAGCTGCAGAACATGAAATCCGTGGTCCAGGCAATCCGGGCAGAGCTGGCTGACTACTGGGACAAGTGCTTCTACAGCCAGGAGCAGAGGGAAGGCTTCAGCCCCTATTACGATGGTGGGTGCAGGTCCTTCCTGCTCATCACCTTCCCCTGTGGGAGCTGCAGGCTGCCCGCCCCAGAGACGTGGGGATCCCGGCCCCCTCCTGAAGGTGCTGTTGTGTCCTTTCCAGAGGACTATACAGAGACCCTGCTCGAGCTCCACGATGCTGAGGTGGGGAAGATGAAGAGCTACTACGAAGCACACAAAGATCTGTTTGAGGCTGTGCAGAAATGGGAGGAGAATTGGAAGCTGTTCCTGGAGCTGGAGGTATTGTCTCTGCCCAGCTCAGGGTGGGGTGCCAGGCAGCACCCACCTCCCATCTCCCGTGTGAACTGCAGTTGGGAAACACCAGGGAGGCCCTTGGGACCCGCAGTGGGTGGGTGGGTGAGGGGGTGGGGCACTTCTCTGGGGCGCTGGTGTGGTCCTCCAGAGCTTTTATCCCACGGGGGGCGTGTGGGGCCGTGAGAGCGGGCGGTGTGTTTGGCACTCCCCTGACCTCCCCTCTGTGCTAGAGGAAAGCAACGGACCCCAGTCGCTTCGCCAACCGCGGGGGGAATCTGCTGAAAGAAGAGAAGCAGCGAGCGAAGCTGCAGAAGACGCTTTCCAAGGTAGGTTCAGCCCTGGGGAAGGACCTGGGTGGTGTTGGCCGAGGAGAAGGGCAGCGCTTGGAGCCAGCGAGGGCTGTCTGGGCGTGGGGGAGGGCAGCCTCTACCCTGCCCTTGTGTCCTCACCAGCTGCAGGAGGAGCTGGAGAGCAGGGTGCAGGCCTGGGAGCAGGAGCACGACGGGGCTTTCCTGGTGAAGGGGCAGCAGTTCATAGAGTACGTGACGGAGCAGTGGCAGCTGTACCGCCTGGAGAAGGAGAAGGAGAAGCAGGAGCGGGTGAGTGCGAGGCCGAGGGCGAGAACCGC